GGTCACAAGCTCAGGTCCGCTCTAATGCGCACCTACTCTACCGCCCAACTACGACTTATCCACACTACACGAAGGATTCCTCTCCACAGCCGTCCGAGTAGCTCGCCAATCAGTTTGGCCTCTAACATCATCTACCAGTTCACTTGCAGTTGCGGTGACACTTACATAGGGCTCATAGGGTGTCGGAACCCTTCCCATTGTGGCTAAGGCAGTTGCTATCTAACCAAGGCGCAGCGGACCAAAGAATGAACCGGAACCCTGCCTCGTCTATCACCAAACACATGACGACTCGTCACCAGGTGAACCCAATTGATTCATTCAAGGTGCTATTGCACAACAGGAACCCGACCTTGTTGGCCATTGGCGAGGTGCTACTGATAAGATTGAATTGTCCCGTGCTCTGTGCCTGCAAACAATTGAGGTGATCAATTAGATTGCCTTGAAGCTGATTACGTCATTCCCAATTTTATTTGCTTACCTATGTTACTAAGTGTGGGTCCTATTTATTGCGTGTTTTGTTCTGCCTGTATTGCGTAGCGACTAACGAGAGCAATCGAAATGTTAACATATCGCAACCTATGTCTTCTTATTGCGTTAATTAAGTGGTTGAAGGGGACTCAGTGTTTTAAGTGATGATAAAGACTTGAAGACTCCTCAGATCTTCAGACCGAAGGGGCCAAGTTTCCCTACCCTAGATTCCACTGAAACTCAGTGTCATTAGGACAAGGGAGGGAAAGTTCGGTATGCAGTGCATCTTGGTAGGCTTGGCTGACCGAGAGCTAGGCTACTTGTTCAGTTGCCAATCGGGGGAGACGCTTGATGCGCCTCCCGGTAAAGTTTATGGAAAAGCGACAGCGTACGAAGACATAATCAGAGTCGATGCAAGTACTTCAGAACGAACGGCAATCCAGGATGGAACCACGCCACCTGGAACTTTTGGCAATGTGGTCAATTTGGGTCGATCGCTGGCCAGCTACAGGGGGACGCCAAGTGGCACATCGGCGTTCACTGTGTTTGAATGCAGTACCACTAATAAACAGCTGGTGCTCCGCACACAACTGAAACAGACGCTAGCCGTTGTCCGTACGGTTGGAGTTAAGCCCATAATTACAACCTAACTCAGCTTCTGCAGAGCCCAGGCGATCTACTTGCGCACTCATACCCTCCAATTACTATGATATCTGAACTGATAGCACTGCGTAGTAGCGTGTTCAGTTCGTAGTAGAATGTGTCCTTGGCAGCATCAGAACTGAAGTCGGTGGGAGTATAAGCGGAAATCACAAACAAGCAGCGTCTTGTATTATTTCGTGAATTAACCTTGGTCAATGTTGTCAAACGGGCTGCAAACAAACGGCTGTTCACCGGAATGCAGTTAAACAACGATTACTCAGACTTGGAGCTGAGAACCATACCGACTCAGCTTGACCAGAGGCTGCCGCATCAGTGTCTCCGGATGCGTGCAACCAATAGCGTGGTTTGGGATAGGAGTAAGAGAAACAGCTGGAAAAGCAATTGGAGGCGTCAGTAGTAGCACGTTTCGCTTATCTGCCCCGCTTTACGCAGTAGATAATGCGACCGTTGATAATCTGCGTGACGGCCGATGAAGCATGTAGTTGAATTTTGAGGAAAGTATCATGATTGTATGTGGGCTAATATACTGCCAGGGCGCCCAGACCTAGACAGGAGGATGGTTAAGGTCCTCATCCAAAGCCTGTCCGTAAGGCAGCGATGTGGTGGCAACAATTTATTTTTACAGAAATGGACGCCATCCCATTTCAACCCCCACCTGGAGGATCAGAAGACTGTTTGTCTGATCTCTAACCATTGACCAACCTGGTAGGAGTAGCTCTCAAGGGACCCGACGGAACCCTCCAATAAATCTCGATAGGTTAGAGGCACGCAAACCGTGGCACCAGGTAAAGGTCCAGTCTAATTGCGACGATCCCTTTCCCCTAAGTCATTATGCTTCGACTTGACATTTGAGATGTGATTGTTCCTCGATAGGATTTTGACCAATGTAGACCACATGTAGACGGAAAATAATCTGAGACCAGAAGCGTGCAGTGTGCGCCAACTATCAGTGGGCTCAGGTCGGCGATTTAAAACGTTTCTAGAGTGCGGTTCAGTAGTTTGGTGCTCGTGGAGGGTACTAAGTTCAACTCAGTTAGGTTGAAAGCCTGATACAGGCGCCGAAGTGCTGTGAATCCAGTCGCCAAGATTTATGTCGCCAGAATAACAAAAAGAAAATGCGGTTGAATGCAAATATAATTTAAAACAAAATGGAATCAGGAAGGAGATGCATTAAATTAATCATGATGGAATGAAAATTAACTGCTAGATGCAAGAAACTGAATGTAGGAACGCCACTGCCTACGCGACTGCACCATGTCTGAATAGGGTCTCCAATCGATGATATGGACCATATTAGGGCCCCTGTAAACGAAGACGGGATGCAGCAGCCTGATCACTTCATTGACTGGTCAGCACGAGGCTCCGCCCGACTTCGTGCAGCCGAGAAAGCCGATCGACGGGCACACGCAGGACACAACCTAGCCAAAGTAAATGGTCAGTGAACTTGAAGGAGGTACCAGAACGCTTCATGACAAAATTCAGCTGGCAGATTCTACCATTACTCACCCGATGTTCCCACTAGATATGAGTAACACCTCGCAACCATCGGTGATCAAACACGCGCAAGCTCTAAATATCTTCACTGCGAACTGACCAGGTCTCTGATCCATGCATCTGTATACACCCTCCCTTTCAATGACAAGCTGATATCCGGCCGTCTCCATTGATGGCTGAGTCTCTGGATAGTCAAGAGGACCCTGCTGATACGCGAAGTAACTTCTTCAGTGATGTGACCATTAGGAGTGACAGTCACTAAGGAAGGTAAATGAACCGAGCCATCACTTCCAGTTGCTTTTCGGTGATGGCTAGTACCGAAGATGTTTCGCTTCAAGACTGTAACAATACATTGCTCTTTGTAGTTGCAAAGCACATACCGGTGCCTGTCTGTCAGTCTGTTCAGTATCGCTTGCTTCAGACCAATATAATAAGTAGGCATATATAATAGAATGCAACAAAGCATTCTGCTTTCGGATCAGCTAAGTGACCAAAATGTTTCACTACCCTCTTCTCTAATTACATTTCTACCAGGTAAAATAGATAGGTTGCGATAAATTGTAACTATTAAAATCATCTTACTGGCTAACGCGACGGCTAACTGTAACTATAGAGCTCTTTCGTATAGTCGAACATTCTATACTTATTTTGGTGGAACGTCGAATTTCCTGGAAAATATTTGCGAAGTAAAACATCATCAGATTAATTTAGAGGATGATGCAGATTTCACTGTAATCTGAGGGAACCGTGACGGTCTTTGCGTATTGTGTCCACCTAAACGTAGAATCAGGGTGTGAGCCTTTATCCATAAACGTTACGGGACTCACGTATTTCTGCAGCGAAAATCATACTGGAATCTACGCCTCAGCTACCACAATATGACGTACCTACTAGCCTTAGTAGAACAGCAGTCCAGCTCGATTACTGGTGTTACTCAGTCCAGATAGCCAATTCCACAACCAGGTTCATTCAACCGTTCCGGTGGGGGGCAGAGAAATTGGACTCGGATCCTCTGAGTTCCGTGGACTTGGTTTATCACAACGGCTATCAGTACAGTTTGAGTTCCCATGCTTCCCAGTCTTTCTGAGCTACGGCACGTCATCCCTTTTGATATACAAAACAATGAATAATGCATTTTTTACACTACTGCGATGCAACGGTTAATCCGCGATAAATCGCTCCGATTAGTGACCGCGACTCAACCACTGGAAACAGATATGATCGGCCAATGAAACACTGTCTGACCCGCAGCATACTGACAAGCGTGTGAACTGGGGCGCACATCTTCCTACGGATCGCAGCACTGGGATGCGGACAACTGTCACACGTCGTCATAAGGTTAGCGGCATTCATTCCCAGATTTGCCTGTGAGTGAGACAGTGAACAGTCACAGGACGTCTGAGTCTACAGTGGGACAATAAACAGCAACGCGCACAGTTCCATCCATATGGAAAATCATAACTAGTGCCAATCCAAAAGAACCAGGCTGTGTAGTATGCAGCTAAGGACCTCCGGTGAAAAGCAGACATGATAGGAGTACAAGAGGCTGTCAAGGTCCTTAGACCTTTTCCTGCGCTAAAAGCTCTTTGAGATAAGCAGTATCAAGAGGATTGCGTGCCTCATCATATCAGGTAACGCAGAACCATTAAATGAGACAGTGACATCGGAAGCGGAGACTGATTTTCTACTCTCATACAGAGTTGATCTAGGCTATTTAAAGTATTCGAGGTTTGAAGTCAAGCGTAAGTCATTCATTTCAGCATAACCCAACTGGGGAATGTAGAAAAGGGAATTAGCAATAGGTGGGTACAGCATACCGACACTTGGCTGTCATACGAACACCACCAGTCGCGCCGGATAGATACTGCGACGTCGCACCAGCTACGGTGATTCGTAGATTTGGAAGAATGTGTCTTATGCCGGTGGGTCAGTGGCGAAATAGCCCAACTGAAGCCGCAAGATTAAGCTGTGAGGTATACCATATTCGCAAGTAAAACAACTGATTCAGTGAACAAGTACGCCACAGACATCTACAGCCTGAATTTAAATCCAGCTCGGTAAGTATGCACCGGGGTAACTAGGAAAAGTATCCTGCGTAGAATACGCTCCTTAGTACAACCAATATCCCAAGACTGTGCCCGCGTCTGAAACACTTTGGAGTAGGCAGATGCCCTGGGTCCCTTTCCTCGGTCGCAGTCCCTCCATGGGCTCCTGACCCTGACAACACATCACCAACTACCGAGAATAAAAGTAAAAAGCCGCGCTCGACTAAAAACCACTTTCAAAAACGCTACTGAGTATGCGCCCCACAAGATGTAGTGGCCCTTGATGCAGCTATAGATAGTTAACAAACGTCGCGCTGTCGTTAAACTCACTTTGAATGTATGCTGTTCTTGCGAATTTTGAAACACTCGTAAGCACTTTGTCTTGCATCGTGCACGCAGAAACAGACGTTCCTCCATCCAAGGTGCGGTTAGCTTTCGTGTGTGACCGGGCGAGGTGAAGAGGGCGAAGACAAGGAATATTCCAAGTGTGTCGGTTGGGACGATTGCGCATATCCGCATTCCTGCCGTTGCCCACACAGTCGAAACCGACAGGAAATTGAGCTGACGCAAGCTTCAGAGTTGGCAACCGTGTGTCAAATGGGCCATACGATTGTCGTCTTGCTCTTAGCATTCACCTTCGCAGTCCAACCACTGCGAAGAGGGGGAACAGAGCCGTCTGCTTTTGTCCAATCAGAGCTCAGCTTTCATCGGATTGGACGTAAAAGCGCACAGACTACTTCCAACCCTGCTATCAAATGGCTCCACACCGCTGACCTTAGAGCATTAGAGGTCACTGCGGCTTACACGAGAGTGTGTACAGCCACTTACGGCTTTCACCACTGATCAACTATCTCGTTACCATAGCCGTCGGGTGGTGCCGGTGGGCGTGCGATTATTGCAGTTACCGCTGTCCGTGGGCCGAGGGGAAGGCAATTCATCTATCGGTCAATTCAACAGCGAAATAAAAATATACCCGTGTGCTGAATAAGCATTAGTCATTGCTACTGTGGGCTTTGCAACTCGGGCAGTTGGGAAATGTGGACATTCCGACAGTGACTTGCGTCACTGAGGGAACAAGATTGAGATCACTCAAACTTTTGTCGCAAGCACACCCATAGTGGTCACTTCAAGCACTCAGCGTTACTATGTGTTCCCTGTTATAGTTCACTATAACACGCGTCGTAGTTTTCCAGGAAAAGCTAGTCATATTTCTACAACCGAGAAAGCCGGCAAACAATTACAGTGACCGCCTAACTCAATCTAGTTTTGGTTTTCTTTCTCCTTCTTAACCGACACTAAACTTCTGACAATCAGAAATCTCTTGTACTAGTTGCCGGTATGCCAGACAAACAGGCGCCAAATTCTAGCCTACACTGCGTGCCAGTGTGGGAATGAAAGCTAGACGAAGTTACAACCGTCTTTTCACAGCAGGTAGTTTGCGAACAGCTAATGAGAACTTACCATGACCCGGTATAACCAGCTTGGTTTACAAGATGTAGTGCTTGGATGTTTTCTACTTATCACTGGGATCACATTATCTTGTGGAACACATCGGTTTGACATTGTGGAAAATCTGTGTGGAACATTGCTGTAAGTATGGACAAAAGTAGAATAGCTGCATCAGTCAGAATATCATGACACAGGTGGACGGCGGGGGATATCAGACTGGTTACTGTAGAGACTGCAAGTTGAAGAACATGTGCTCTGATTGGCGAACTCATTTTGAAGCACTGCGTTGAATTGGTTGCAAATCACAATCACAATGAGAATCACGGTCAATTCGATCACGGAGACCGTAACTGAAGAGGCAGAGGACTATAGAGTGTTGTCAGCCGGAAATCTTGCGGTCAATAAGTGGAACAGTTTGTGGCGCATATACATAGAAGGAGAGAGATACTAACCGTATTAGACGTAATAGAATGTGTCGGTAAACTTATTTTCCTGTTTGTGGGAAGTTTGCAGTAACATGAGCAGCTGTAGTAATAGGGTCATTCTGACAGGTTACGGGTTTTCGAAATAGGGCTGTTGAATGAACTTGCCAGTGCTTCGGGGCATCCGAATGACTTTACAGGCTACTATCTAATGCAAACAGGGACCAACACAACTGTTTCAGCACACCTATGACTATCCAGTCAGCGTATCATGCACACGGATTGGGTATTTTTTCAGTATTCTTTCTACTCCACGCTGGATGAAAGAGTGGCTGGAGCCCCACTTTGGAGATATACTTACTAGGTAACAATGAAGACAGTTTGCTCTCCTTTCACGGGACTAATTTCTTGGATCGGTTGTATTTCATACTCGAATCTGCGGTCGCTCCAACCTTAGCAATTACTGCACATTCATGATATCGGGATGGGTTAATACAGCCTGCAGAAGAATAACAGGCAAATTTCGATCCAACGGAAGGCACATACCTGCCGTTTTGAGTTAATCCTAGTCCTTTAGTGTGATTTCAGAATCCCAATAGTAGGGTTATGTACACAAATACATAAAGAATTGTTCTATGGCTTAACGGTGCACAGACTGTTCCTGTGTTTCACAGTTGAAGTCATCCGACTTATGGTTACAGAGAATTCCCAAAGCATGTAGATGTGGGATGTATGCAAGCATTTATGGCTGTTACATCAATGGTGAGCTATGTGGTAAACACGTTAGTATCGCACACTCATCATGTTGAGGAATGAAGGCATTTTAGTATGGTTTCGAGAAGTTTGGAGGGATGGTTTCCTTAAATTCAAGTAAATGCTTTCATAGGTTTGCTTTCGTCAATTGCCAGTTATGGTTGATCCATACTGAATTATTTTAGCTTTTGCCTCTTCGATAAATATTGCCATATTCCAGTGAACCTTATTCATAACACAGTTAGTCAACAGAGTGCAGTTTAAAACTCTCGTTTTAACCCACTTCGGTTGATCACTTCTCACGCAAGTAAGGCCATACAGGTTAGCGGAAAATATTTGCCTGTCTCGAAACCTGGTTGCACTGCGAAATATGTGCACTTAAAGTTTATGCTTTGTGGCTCAATCTCCTGTCTCCGAACTGGGATTGGTGCTGCATGATTTGTGGCCACAGTCGTAAATTCAGGTTTTAATGCTTCTATTTCAACATATATCATATAAGTGAGTGACCAGAGAGAAATACTCGAAATTGTGCCAGCCAACAAATCACGGCGCAGGCTTGAATAAATAGCCATTAGTTCTTTTTAGACAGTATTGTAAAACCTGCTGTCATATTTGCGAAGCGCAAGGGATGTAATGTCACACTTTCCACTCACCCAACAAGTACTTGTAAAATGATACCTCCGAGCGTCGACAAACAAGCTCACGATAGGTGGGAGGTCGCTGAACCTCCAGTGATTCACATTGAAACCAGCGAAATTGCACACCCAAGACAAACCCTGGTCAAGACACCCGTACCTGAGTAACTGCAACCAGTAGACTGAGAAACTTCAATTAAAAAGCGCACATTTAATGCGATTAAATTCGATGAAGGCAGTGGTAAATACTGTTCCTGAGAGACACCCGAATCATCGTGTTGCCAACATTCGGTCTCAAAGTCGGTGTATACACGTTAGCTGTTATGCTTCCGCGACAAATGGCCTTGCGCTTTGCGTCTCGTGGCTGCTCTTCATGTTCGACAAACAACACAAGGAAGCATGATTCCATGATCAGAATGGGATGACGACACTCGTGAGAGGTGCGCGCTGCTTAGCCAAGTGGCCACTCATTGTATTTGACATCGAGAGCTGAATCGAGGTTCATATGTCATAAGTGTGGAAGTAGCACGCACATACAGCAATGAACGTGAACCACTTGGCTACTTCACTTGAGCAAGTAAGTGGGAGCCACGGTGAAGGAGGAGATCAAATTCGGGTGGGTCGAGTGTCTGTCTGACTGCGAAGTGTGTGAATTCAATAATCTCTCCGAGCCAATTTGCGCCGGTCCTCAAGGTTCAGCACGTACAAAGTCTGAGGGTAGGACAACTAAGCTTTGTTCAGCAGTGGTGGTGGGGAATCTCAAACCCTTCTCAGCCACAAGGCCAGACAACCACTGTACACTCGGAAAAGCGATGAACAACCTTTTCGTTCATTCTGTGGGATTAGACCTTGACATGTATGAAAGTCTTGAGTTAGAGCCAGTGGGTCACCAGGGACAGGAGACGGTGAGCATCCCAGTTAAATCTACATGGCGGACTCCGTCATCACCAAAGAGCATGCAAATAGTTAGGCGTCATGAAGTAGGATGATAGTAATACAAAGGTGGCTATTTCATAAAACCTAATATGCATAAACATGAGATTTGGATCGCCATGACCGGTAATTTGCTTTATGACCTTCGAAGTTTTATCCTATGAATTCGTTTCGAAATTCAGCACCGAGTTCGTTGAAAGTCCTCCTTTTGCCCACTCCAATTAAGATCTTGTACTACTGGCTGTGCAGCATAAACTTTCCCCAAACATACGGTGTACCGTGGATACCAGGGTACGACGTTAAATGTCTAAATCCTACATTTGTTATTTATGGATGTAATGAAAGCAATCATCTGTAAGAGCTGAAGGCCATAATAACACGGGGACAACAGACACAATTTACCGGGGAATTCTGCTATGTGAATTAGTATTTGGAGATATCTGTAAGTAATGGCTCATCTGCGAATTGCAAACCTTGAGCGCAGCAGCTATTCAGCTTTTTGGAAAGTTATATCTGATAAAATATGGCAAGACAGCTTACTACCTTAAGGTCTGTTTACTTAGCGAGACTAGACGGCACTAGTTTTAGTAGGGATTGAGAATTTCGCAGAATTAGGCCACCATCATTCTGAGCAATAATGGTAACATTAGACTTTCGCCGCGCTAGCACACCACACAACAGGTAACCAACAGTGCGTCTTGGAGGCAGCCACGAGTGAAGTCCTTTCAGGAGGTAGTCCCTACGAAGTTTTGCTGTACAGTGCAGTAACCATCAAAGCGCCAAGCATGTGGGTAGATTTAGCGCGGCGCGAATTCGACGCCCCATAAGTAACAGATTACGTGGATAACCATTCATTCCCACACTCTGAGGCAAATTTTGCGACATTCCTTCGTTGTCAGTACCACTATTTGTCGCGCTTATTACTGATAGCATCATCAACACCATCATCAGCCCAACAACGTTCAAACGTCAGTCAGATACAGTGTGTTTACGCTTGAGTAGTGCCGCAATTGGCCTGACTCACCTGCCTGTGGGAGCGGAAGTGCTGCAACCGCAAGGCGAAGCAAATGCTACCGTAGACTTCACTGTTGTTCTGCACAAAGAACCGTCGTTCTACCTCCCTCTTCAATTTCCGACTACTCCCCGTCTTCTACCGCTACGCATGGAAGCGGTGAAGCGACTCTCAGACAATCAAACATGCATAATTATCGTGCGTTATACTAAGGAAACTAATCAGAGGGATACAAAGGTGTGGTGTTGCAGCGGGATTTTTCACGCGGCTTCCTGAACACACCAAATGAAATGGCGGGCTGATCCAAGCGCCCGG